ATATTTCCCAATTTGTATTGCAGAACAAGTTCTTCCTCATCTTTGACAGCTTGAATCCCCATCCGACAATATGTATCTTCTTGCCTTTGTTCCTTTTTCATTGAGAACGGGTGGAGTTTTCGCGTTTTCATAGTTCAATTTGGCTCGAATTTGAAACTTCGAATGGAACTTAACATTTCGAATTTGGGAACTATAGGAGAGCTCATATATATCGATTGGGAGATCTAAGGTTACCGTGCAAAATTGGTCTGTGGTGAGCACATACTCTTGTACAACTTATGTTAACATTTCCAATCATAGCGTCCACAAATTAGTAAATGAGTGTAGTATATATACTAGGTGGGAGCATCGATTCGAGGAGCGTAAGTTTCAGATTCCAAAAATTGGGAACCAGTCCTAACGAGATAAGTTTCAAGTTCTAGGTCTGGAACCTACTTAACTTGAAACCGCTCATCCCTAACTTGCACAGCTTTCATACTCGTCCAACGGAAGTTCTTGCACTTTGGGAGGATGCTTATTTGTCCTACTATATCAAAAATTACAATTGCTTTCCCGGCTAAATGGTGTGCTTTGCAACTTCTAGCGCCATCCAATCTATCTCCAACTTGGTGAATGCCGACACATCAGACAAACTTTTCAGGTATAAGCATTATTTGATCGCCGCCTCCCTCAAGCCATCGGTGGCTCTCAACACTCCATAATAACATAGCTGAAGATGCCGTATTTTTTTCATCTTTTATGGATTGTTGCTTTTGGTAGATAGGAATTTTAATTGTTGTTTTAACTTTCATTTTGCTTGACTAAGAGATGAGTTGGACACTTCCCAATTATTTTATAACCCCTCCACTCCAAGTAATGGCAAGCCCTAAGAAGGTTCCAAGCTTTTGATGCTCACATTATCTTATGGCAAAGTCATAATCGTCTCTATGACCGTCTTCTTGCAAAAGCCACTCATTCAAGTGGTCAACAGCGAAGCCGGTTGACCTCCTCGAAGTATCCTTACGTATCTTCTTAATCCCACCATAAAATAACAATTAGACATAATAATCACTACCTAATCAATCAGGTGCCCAATAATGTCTTCATATTGATTTAAGATTGCTAGAATGTCCAACACAAAGACTTAAACTTATAGGTAAAGAAAGACCACATGTATCTAAAGAGCATATAAGACCCACAATATATCAAAACCCCCTCTCACATGCCAACTGGATCGGGACTGAATTTGAATGATGGGGGTGACGCACATACGCGAAAGGGATAGCACTAACTTTGATATCATATTTGAAAGTCCAACCCAAAAGCTTAAGTTTATCCACTGTAACGGCCCAGGCGGCGGTGCGCGGGGAGGAAGGATGGCGGTGTGTTTGCACCTTAGTCCTCGGACGTGCGCAGGGAAGGGGAGAGCCTCTCTAGTCCCACATCGCCTAGGGAGGAGTCCTGGACTAGCTTATAAGGCTTGGGGTTCTATATCTGTGTAACGCATTTTAAATCCGTGAGAGTCAGTGGGCCCAGAGTGGACATAAGGGGTAGAGAATGCGACCACCTAGGTGGTGGTGCGCAGGGAGGAGGGATGGCTGTGTGTCCGCGCCTCAGTCCTTGGACGTGCGCAAGGAAGGGGAGATCTTCTCTAGTCCTACATCGCCTAGGAGGAGAGTCCTAAACTAGCTTATAAGGCTTGGGGTTTTATATCTGTGTAACGCGTTTTAACGCCGTGAGGGTCAGTGGGCCCAATGCGGATAATATTACACAATATAGACCCGGGGCGTTACATCCACGTAAAAAACATATACTACCCATTATCAAGCGATAAGGCTTGCGTGGCTTCGTTCGTTTTCATCAATTTGACAAGTCTCGCTTGGCATGATCTATTGGACTTTTACACGTCTAGTGGTAATAAATTAGCGGCCAATTATTCAACAAGTGATTAAAAGTCGCTGAAAATTCATTTGTACAGTACATAGATAACGTAATAACCTTATACAAGCTCTTATTAGTATTCTCAGTGACGTGCAATCAATGAGTTTCTTGAACTGAAAAGCTTTTGGCTTTTGCTTGTGCTTAATTAGTTGTTGAGGATATTTACATGATTAAATCCATGGACCATTAGTTTGCAAATTAATCTTACAGATTAGTACTAATTCTATGACATATATCAAAACTGTTCATATATGTTGTCTTTTTATATGGATATGTAACATTTATTCGACGCGTGATAGATAGAAGAGCTTGGATTGAATCTTGAAAGTTACCGAGAGCTCTTGTTAATTAGCGTGTCTCCTTAGGGAAGATCAAGATTCTCATACTTTGATTTTCGTTTCTTTCTTTTGGCCAACGGCGACTAATTATTACGAACTAGCTTGTACATGTTAGGACAAGTCGCGTACTTGTGAGTGCACGCACGGTTGTGTCGCGAGAGAGATCGGGGAGAGCATATGCAGGAGTTGACACTAATACTTTGCTGATTCACCTTCTTCCATGTCCTGATCTAATCAAGAATCTCCGTCACACTTATAAAACTAGTTCTGTACAAGAGAGATACTATAAGCAAAAACTTGGAAAACCCAGTTAAAATAATAAGTGATCGATTCACTTCTTTCATTTCTTGATTTTTCTAGGCAAGCTTCTGCAACATGATCCGGAGAAAAGAATTCCCAGTTGCTTCTGCTGCTGACGAGAGGGGGAAGCTTCTTGTATGGATCTTTGACTGGCCAGCAAGGAAGCGGCGAACAGTAGAGTACATTGTCCCTGAGGCTCATTCGCAAGGGCTCTTTGTTCTGCCCTAAAGACCGTCTTTGGCCATTATATTGGAAGACAATGCTGACTGTTTGTGATACCTGGCTCTGTTATTCTAATCTTCAATTCAACTCTTTAGACTGTCCATTGAACAGTCCCAGCTTCTGTTACTGAACAAGTTCTTCCTCATCTTTGACAACTTGAACCCCTATCTGGCAACATCTAGTCTGTGCTTTTCTTCGTCATTCATGGGTGGGGTTTTTGTAGTTCAATTTGGCTCGAATTTGGAACTTCCAGTGGAACTGGACATTTTGAGTTTGTGAACTTGCCATTGTACAACTTCTGTTGAGGTTTCCAATCGAAATGTCCTATATCGTATCATCGACAAATTATTACATGATTGTGGCATGTCTACTAAACTGAGTTGAACACGAACACAAACTATCAAAAGCTCTGGGTCCATGTGAATCTCATCAAGAGGTAATCGACGGGCGGATAGGGGGTGAGAGGTAAATGAGCGGGCTTGGACTTGGGCAACGTTCTTACATGAGTAAGCCCGAAACTGCCAACTCTACGGGCTCAAGCCCAGCTTGAGAGTTTCTGTGTAAATTCTATATTATAGATAGGCTTGGACAACAAATTAGGCTTGACTTTCAGGCCCAATTCAGCCTAAGTGTACCAAGTGCTCATCCTTAGTTCCACTAGATATGATGATCCATATTCAATTTAATACACGCATGCACTGTATTCACCAAATAATTTCTCAATAGCCTCACTCAATTCCTTCAGAAATCTTGCTGGAAGTTGGTTGCATGAGGTACTATATTCACAGATATACCAATGATTTCAAAGTATAAAGGCTAATTTCACATCTTGAGATAGGATATCCCAATAATATATATATTATAGATATATCTTGTTTCGTGGAAGGACAATTTCAAAACATTTGTAGTGAAAAGCACGTTGGGTAATACTTTTCTCCATCATGACCCGTGCCTAAGGCTACTTTTTCCTTTCGCGTGTTTTCCTCCGTCTTGTTATAGGAGATTCCTTCCAATTGTTACTTTGACCGGCGGAGTACAAACATGGACCATCATTTACATTCAATTTTAGTCAAGTTTGCATGCGGCTAATATTCATGTTTACAATCTACCAATCACAAAGGCTCGGAGCAAAATATGGCATTTTTTTTTTCCTTGGGAGGGCCGCAATTGTGTGAAGGACTACATTCAGCCCGTTGGGAAGACCATTGGCATTTTTCCACATACGCGACGTCGTTTCTATCCCCCTCCATTCCAAGGAATGGCAAGTCCTAAGCAGGTTCCAAGCTTTTTGTATGTTCGCATCATCTTATGGTCAAGCTATATGATCAACACTATCTTCACATTATCTTTAATGGCAAGTCCTCAGGATGCTTTTGAACGTTCACATTCAAGCGGGTCGAAAGCGAGGCAGGTTGACCTACTCGCAGAAGCTTCCTCGGATGTCCTCCTGTTCCTAATCCCACCATAAATTAAGAGTTCAAAATACTAACCACTACTCAATCAATCACGTTCCTACTACAAATGCGGACAAAAATGTGATGTCGTTGAACGGATGGAATCGTGGGGAAACGTTATAGAAATCGCCCAACAATTTTTTCTTGGGATTATGCAGAAACCCAGCTTCATGAAATTTAGAATTACTTCGAGATTGTTCTGGAGAGATGATGATTATATTATTGCTCAGATATTATTATGCTAGACGATGAAATGTGTAACTTCTCTTTCTCTCTCTCTATCTATGATCAATTTCGAGATACAAGGTCCCGATGAGTTTAGAGAAGCAAAATCCTGAACAAATCGATATACGCCAATAGCTCGAGAGCGGAAACGTTGTCTATGCAAAACTCGTTCTCACAAGAAAAATAAATAGAAAAGAGAAATACGAGATTTCAAAGAGTGACAAAAAGTGCACCGTCCCATAACGTTAGGAAATTCTTGGTGAATATATTTCGTTTTTTCCTAAGTTAAATTATGATGTCGCAATTCTTTGTATTTTCTTTTATTATTTCAAAGTTCTAATTGCATTTGCAAACTACCAAACAGTAAAGCACTCCCTACTTTTCTCCTCAAGAATGCATAATTTTCTGGGGGTCAACTCTCTCCACCGGTCAACACAAACGTTCCAGGAACTCTGCAGGATTTCGTGTCAAAGCAGGACTCGAACTATTCAAACGCCTGCTCTTTCCTTCGACTTTCGCAGGTGCGAACACAATCATTCGGAGCCGTAGAACACCTGCAAATGCCCTCTCGTATAAATGCATGCCTTCCATGGACTCAGGAATTCATAGTCAGACCCACCGCAGAAAGAAAAGACCAGAAACGTTTCGACACACGACCAACCCATCTTCAACAGCTCTCTCTCTCTTTCCCATCATCTGCATTGAATATCGCCGTTTCTCTGAAGTCCTGCACCTGATGAACCCCAGTGCCGCAACCAAAATGTCCGGGCTGTTGCTCGGGCAGCTCGGCCAGAGGGTGCTCTCGACGTCGGCCTGCCGGGGTCTGGTGGCCGAGGCGTCGGCTAATTTGAGGCATGCCGGTCAGGTCGGCGGGGTCCGATACAAGAGCAGCCTGGCCACTGATGCCGCACAGGAGGAGAAGGGTGAGAACACCAAGGCCATTTCTAGCTACTGGGGGGTCGCTCCGCCTACGATCGCCAAAGAGGACGGTTCGGCCTGGAAATGGAATTGCTTCAGGGTATGCACACAATCACAAAAGCCCCCGTCAATTGTTGCATAAGAACATGTCCTTTCTTGAGTTTGATGGAACTTTGTGTGGTTGGCTGGTTGGTCAGATTTCTGTGTTCTAGTTCTTATCTGGGTCAACGCGTGATTGATTTGTTTATCTTCTTCTTCGTTTCGTGGACAGCCATGGGAGGCTTACACGGCAGATGTTTCTATTGATGTGGAGAAGCACCACAAACCAAACAATCTGATGGACAAGTTTGCTTACTGGACAGTTCAAACTCTCAAAGTCCCCGTTGGGCTCTTCTTTCAGGTTAGCACTTCTTGGTCTGCCTTTCCCAACTCTGACTGCTTAGGAAATTTTTCAGAAGAACAATTTGAGCACCGGACGCGTAAATTCGGCGAACCTGTCAAGATCTCTTGCAATATTAGCTCAAACTGCTCGCATCAGTGCTCATTCACATGACAGAAATCTCAATTGAACCGCTCTACTAGTACAGTGAAAAATTTAGATACTTAAGTTACATGAATTATGTTTGTGAAGCTTATGTTGAACAAACAAAGGGTCCTAGTCTAAATTTCTTTGGCGTTTTGTTTTCCTAATTCTGAGTGAATGCGATCTTCTGCAGAGGCGGCACATGTGCCACGCGATGCTGCTGGAGACGGTGGCGGCTGTGCCAGGCATGGTCGGCGGGATGCTCCTGCACTGCAAGTCCCTCCGGCGGTTCGAGCACAGCGGCGGGTGGATCAAGGCACTCCTGGAGGAGGCGGAGAACGAGCGGATGCACCTCATGACCTTCTGCGAGATCGCGCAGCCAGCATGGTACGAGCGCGCGATCGTGTTCACCGTCCAAGGCATCTTCTTCAACGCCTACTTCTTGGCCTATGTCGTCTCTCCGAAGCTGGCGCACAGGATTGTTGGGTACCTGGAGGAAGAGGCAGTGATCTCTTACACCGAGTTCCTCAAGGACTTGGACAACGGCAGTTTCGAGAATAGGCCGGCACCGGCAATCGCCATCGATTACTGGAGGTTGCCCCTGGACTCGACGCTGAGGGATGTGATCGTGGTGATCAGAGCCGACGAGGCTCATCACCGGGACCTTAACCACTATGCATCGGTAAGGCCTAATCTTGTTCAATTGGCATGTCTTTCGGACATGTGCATAATTATATGAATTCCATCGAGCAACCTAGTTTTAGTCCAGCTGGCACATTATCGCAAAACATCAATTTTAGGGTCTAAACATGTGAAGGGACCATAACACAAGACAACATATTCGATGGTTATCACACGTTACATCATCGGCTAAAGTGGTGTAACGCGATCGATTATAAAATTGACTAATGCGAAATGATCATCCATCCGCTTTCGTCGTGACTTTTAAGCACCTGTTTTTGTCGTAGTTTACACTTGCACATCATATTATATCATAATTCTTATGAGATTGTTGTTTTGAGACTTATAGAAGATTTTATTAATTGAATTATGCAGGACATACAATGCCAAGGACATGAGCTGAAGGAGGCCCCTGCTCCAATCGGATATCATTGATTCTTATATTATATATTTATATGAGAAATTCCATTAATTTAGTGTGGACTCTTATCTATAACGATTTGTTATTATGTAATCTCTAAATGTAAAAAAAAAAACATTTAATCTTACGTATCAAATGGAAGCACGTATGTATTAAAGCCTTTTAAGCACCCGATCAATCTTATCCAATCTCATCGGTTAAGCTGTTGATTTAGTCCGGATCTGATGTCATTCTAACCATTGATTAAAGATAAACTATATGGTTTTGGGATGGGAAAATTACCAAAAAATTCTTAAACCTATAATTCAATCCTAAACTTTTTTTTTTCAATTGAGTCCTAAACATTTTGCATTTGTGCCAATTCAGTCCATTGGACAATTTTTGCCGGAGATCGCTGACATGACGCAGGTCATCCTACGCAGCATGACTGGCACTGACACAGATAATTTTTAATAATAATTTGATATTTTTTGAATTTTTCTTCATTTTTTTCTTTTCTTTCTCTTTCTTTTATTTTCCCTTCCTTCTTCTTCTTCTAGCCGATCACTGGACCTTGGCGATCGGCCAAAGATGAGATCAGGTGATCAACTAGAGGAAGAAGGAAGGGAATAAAACAAAGAAAGAGAAAGAAAAGAAAAAATCAAAAAATCAAAAAAATATTATAATATAATTTAAAATTATTCGCATCAGCGTCGACCACGCCACATAGAATAGCAGGTGTCCATGTTGGCTACTTCTGATTAAAATAGGCCAGATGGACTGAATTGGCATAAATACTAAAAGTTGAGGATTCAATTAACAAAAAAATATAGGTTTAAGACTGCATTGACATAATCAAAATAAATTTAAAACTTTTTTAAGAATTTTCCTATTATGGGATCTAATTGATACGATAGTGATCAATGTTCATGAGAATTGAGATAGGGGTTAATTAAAAAAAAAAGCATCAACTTTAGGTCGAGGATAATTCTAGCCCGAACTTTTTTTTGTTCCGTAAAAAAGTATCAACTTTAGGTCGAGGGACAATTTTGGCCCTAACTTTTTTTTATCCCGTAAAAAAGTACAAACTTTAGGTCAAGTGACAATTCTGACCCCAACTTTTTTTTTGTCTCATAAAAAAGCACCAATTTTCACTTAAATCTCAAATATGGCCCACATTGACTTAGAACCATTGATTATCTAACTTCACTATTCCACCTTGGCAATAAATCCACGCGGCTTGCTGACTGGATTTAAAGCAATATTCATTATTTTATTCTCTGAACCACAATTTGAAGAATAACGATGAAACTGTTCGTCTCCTTCACTTCACCGGCAAGTCAAAAAATATCTTCAGATTGAATCTTTCTAGGCAGATGTAATCTGAAACTGACCACTACCTATCGACAAACACTGTAGACGAGATTCGCCAAGCTCACCATCATAACCTTTTTTCTCAAACAATGATGACTTTAGACAGAAAGTCAACGGGGGCCCAGATTTGAGATCAAGGTGAAAGTTAGTGATTTTTTATGAGATGAAAAAAATTGAGGCCAAAATTGTCACTCGACCTAAAGTTGGTATTTTTTTACTGGACAAAAAAAAGTTCGGGCCAGAATTGTCCTTCGACCTAAAGTTTGTGTCTTTTTATGGGACAAAAAAAAGTTCGGGCCAGAATTGTCTTTCAATTTTAAGTTGGTGCTTTTTTTTGGAATTAGGCCAATTAATATATGCCTTTTAACGAAAATACAAAAGGAGCTCAAATTCACTTGTGAGAGATCATTGAAGTCGTACATGTACGTTCATGTAGTACATTCATGTACTTCGGCATATTTTGATTAAGGTTTCTTGACAGAACTTCCCGACAGCTCTAAAGTTCTGTCAAATGTCGGCTCTTCCCCTTAAGATTTTAAAAATGAAAATATATTTTAAATATTGGAGAATATTTTTTCTAAAAAATTCATTTCCATTTTTAAAAAAATGAATAAACGAAATATATTTTTGGCATCACTTACAAAACATCATCGTCTGACTGCTTATAAAAAGAACTAATAATTAGAATCTTCTGATTAAATCGCACGAATTCTCGGTCCAAGTTCTAGGGCTCCTGATATGGTCCAATCTCCAAATTCAACGCGACTGAGTCTCGTACTCGATGATGGCTTAAGATGGTCAAGGTCGACTTTTCCACCGGTCGAGGGAAAGAATGTTCAAATTCTTTTATTAGTTAATTAATACTAGTGTCGAGCCTCGTGCCACGCGTGGGTGTGACCATCGACGGAAAACATACGAATAGAAGTAAATCGTTAATTGGAAGACAAAATTTCAGTTCATTTTAGTTGAGTGGGCATAATGGGTAGTTCTGATCAATTTTCAGGTATAAATATATAGATATAGATAAATCTAGACCTGTCAAATGGGTAGGTCGGATCGGATTTAAGTCGGGTCACAAATGGTCCGATCCAAATGGACCCATTAATCCGTTTATGACCCATTTATGTGCAATACAATTTTCTTGACACATACCCGACCCGCCCCAATCCATATTTCTAAAACACTTTCATATTGTTAAATCTAGGAAAACGTCAATTTAAACTGACATGAGAGTGCAAAGTGAGTGAGCGCGAGATTGAGTGAAGGCAAGAAAGATGAGTTAAGTTTAAATAAGTTGTTAATCCATTTATGATCCATTTAACACTCATATTATACCTATACCCATTTATGACCCATTTAGTAAATATAATTAACCCATTAATGATCAATTTATGATTTATATGGATTAATAAATGAATTTATAATCTATTTTGATATGTCTAGATAGATCGATCCGAAACTATTCGAGCTTAGAAAGGGCACGCGTCCACCACACGCCAAATTCACGTTAAGAGAATATCCCACCCGAAGAATGATTTACATCAACCACTGTTTCATATTTTATTTGGTTTTTTTATTCTTGATTAAGCACTAGAAGTTAATCGCCACTAAGCGCGAAATGTAAGCGCTTACGTGATCGCGGCCAATGAGGAGCGGGATTCTTCGAGGGCCACGAGGAAAAGTTGAACACGTCCATCGTTCCCGGACCGCAATCCTTAATTGATCAATTCCTACGACGCAGCCTCTTCAATTTTTTATTATATTTTTTCTGTGGTCGAAAGCCTCTTCGATTAATTAACTCTTAATTAATCACTCTAATTAAAGGTGAGCCCGTGCTAGCTCTCCTCCTTGGAAAGTTTGACCCAGCATTCCTCAAATTGCCTTTTTGGAAACTTCGAATCCGCGGTCAATTATGGAAATGCCCATGGAGTCGAAGGAAACGGTGTATGCACTAGGGATGACCGGACCGGACCGGCAAACTCCCGGCTCCTAAAATTTGGAACCAGTGATTGTTGATCGGGTTCTCAGTTCCAGATGTGGATCGAACCACCGGGACCGATTTGATCATATTTTATCACATCTTTAGTGTCTTTCCAATTGATTAAATATCCAAAATATTTATAAAAAAAAAGAGCTTAGACTGTGCAACAGCACTTAAAGTCTTGCAAATAATAGGAAAAAAAAGAGATATCACCGTTCGTTCCTGAACCCACCTAGGAATTAGACCGAACAGATCGGTTCGATCCGATCCCGTTCCAGGACTAGGCGAGCCGGTTCCCGATTCCACAAATCGGGAACCGACCCTCCTTCTAATTCAGTTTCAAATTTCGGGGTGAGTCGATACTAATCACCCCTTTTGCCGTTAAATGAGAATTCATTTGCTGCGAGGTAGTGCCAACGCGTGCCGTTTTAAAAGAAGGGCACTTTAATCCACCCAAAAAAAGAAAGAGGGCATTTTGGTCAGGACGAGATATTTTCCATGTAAATCGAATTTCGAACGGTCCCGAAGAAAGCGCCTCGCTGTCTGCCTTGCTCCCCAAGTAGCGTCGTTATCATCGAACCTTCCTCCCGTGCCCCAAAATCGGCAATTTCCAGTTGTCAGGGGCCAATTCCCGGCCGACACGCGTCGCCTCCTCGCCCCGTCCACGTAGGCAGCCCCACCGTCATTCCCAACTCACGCCTCCGTCCGCTCGAGGCGGCGGTAGCAGCAGCGAAGCAACGCTAGCCTGTCTCGCCCGCGGTTATTTACGAAAATACCCCCAGAGCCGTCACTATATAAAGAAACCGTCTCCTCAAAACCTCCCCCTCACGTACGTGAAGCCATAAACCCCACGACGAACGCCAACGCAAAACGAACCTGATACTCCTCCCATACCCCTCGGGCGCGCAGAGACGATCGGTTTTTCCCTCCTCCTCCTTCGCTGACCGGAGCGGCGACGGCCACGGCGACGATGATGATCGGACGGCACCACGGGAGCAAGCTCGCCGGCGCCACCCTGGCTGCGCTGGGCCAGAGGGCGTTCGCGACGGCCTCCGTCGCCCGCGGCCTCTCCGCCGGCGAGGCTGCGGCGGCAGCCAAGTATCTCTGCTCCGTCCCCGCTCGCGGAGCGGCGACTGCCTGGCTCAGGGCTCCGGCGATCGGGCTGCGCCACGAGAGCACCCTGGCTCTCGGGGAGAAAGAGGCGCGGCAGGACAAGCGCGGGGTCGCCGGTTCCGACGGAGCGAGCCAGGGCGAGAAAGCCATCGCGAGTTACTGGGGCGTGGAGCCTTCCAAGGTCACCAAGGGCGACGGTACTGAGTGGAGGTGGACTTGCTTTCGGGTAACGTGCATTTTTTTTGTTTTTTTGCCTTGTTTGCGTTCGAGTCTGCTTTTTGGAGGAGATGTTTGTGTTTGCTTCTGTTGCTGATGAGATGTTGTGACGGGTGGGGCGGTGGATGAAGCCGTCGGAGACGTACAAGGCGGACCTGTCGATAGATCTGAAGAGGCACCACGCTCCGCTGACGTTCCTGGACAAGTTGGCCTTCTGGACGGTCAAGGCCATGAGATACCCCACCGACATATTCTTCCAGGTACGTCCTCGTGTCCCCGTTGATTTAGGGCTGGATAGGGATGTGATCCGGCAAACTTTAGCTCATCTGGCGGGTGGACGCCTAGTTCTCCGTCTGATTCTAAAGCCGTATGGGATATGGGATCGGAAAGTTGTATTATCGGCCGATCTACACGTACACCAGGCCTAGGCATGTCGAGATCTATTAGAATGTTTGACCTTAGAACGCGTGATTGCATGATCTTGGTGTTCCATAGAACATGGACTGGTCAATGTTTTTTGTGGACTTGTTCCCTGTGGAGACCAAAGGAATCAGGGCTATTGCGTTGCTCTTTGAAATGGACAAAGTTTTACAGTGTGTTTGAATGGCTACTTGTGATTTCAGCCTTCTCGTTTCTTTTTATTTTTTTTTGTTTTTTGAGGGGGGTTTGTATTTGCTTCTAGCTTTTAAGATTTAATTTTGTTTTGACGGAACACCTTAACTGTTTATAAAAAATGTGAAGTTGATGCTGGACTTTTCTTTATTAAATATCAAAGTATTTCTTTATATTTTTTGACATTGTATATATGCATTCAAATACGGGTTCATGCATCTAATTGGTAATTAAGGGGAAATTGTCTTCTTTCCAGCCACCGTCCATCGTCGGAGCTGGACTTTTTTTTATGTTAAATTATATCTTTGATATGTAAGGGCATAAGAGGCTAGACACACGCGATCCACTCCAAGAGTTTGACATAAACATTTATTTATTTCTTGTAAACAGAGAAGATATGGCTGCCGAGCGATGATGCTAGAGACCGTGGCAGCGGTACCCGGCATGGTCGGAGGACTGCTTCTGCACTGCAAATCGCTGAGGCGGTTCGAGCACAGTGGTGGTTGGATCAAAGCCTTGCTAGAAGAAGCTGAGAATGAACGCATGCACCTCATGACCTTCATGGAGGTTTCGCAGCCAAGATGGTACGAGCGCGCCCTCGTGTTTGCAGTCCAGGGCGTTTTCTTCAATGCCTACTTCGTGGGCTATCTGATGTCTCCCAAATTCGCCCACCGGGTGGTTGGTTACCTCGAAGAAGAGGCCATACACTCGTACACCGAGTTCCTGAAGGAATTGGACAATGGAAATATCGAGAACGTCCCGGCTCCGGCCATCGCCATCGACTATTGGCAGCTCCCCCAAGGGTCCACTTTAAGGGATGTCGTGCTCGTGGTGAGAGCTGATGAGGCACATCACCGGGATGTGAACCACTTTGCATCGGTAATGATCTTATTCATAGTGCCTCTGAAATTTTATTCGAGCACGTGTACAATTTATTCATGCGATTGTATACTTAAACCTGACTGTTTTTAAATGGATGAATTGTCGCAGGACATACATTACCAGGGACGTGAGCTGAAGGAAGCTCCTGCTCCACTTGGGTATCACTGAAATATCCCGCGTCACCATAGTGTTGTGAAGGACTACGAGTTCATATATGATCAAAGACTCTTGTCTTTTACTATGAAATAATAGTGGTACTCATTACAGTGTGTACAATCCACTGTTGTGTTCATTAATATGATAATGGTTGCTGGAGTTCGCCATCGTGAACCTTTTGGTAATTCGACTTTGATTCCTTTCGCTCCATGTGAATAACTGTTGCTGAATGAAGAAATTATATTTGACCGAGATCATCTGTTCTGATTCGCGATAGTACTTTTCTAATGGCAGATTTATGAGATAAAAATGATGCGAGATATGATGGGCTCCGTTGGTTTCAAGAAATCCAATTTGGCAACAGGGCATTGGTTTTGCTGTTGATAGAAGAATTGGATTTCGTCCGGGGAGAAGGTTTCTGCTTGAAGCAATTGATAAAAGTTCAAGCCATGTCTTCTCTCCTGGAACTCCTAGGGAGCCCAAACGGTAATTGCATAACAGGGAACAACTATGAGTCTTTAGAATCGATCCTTCTGAATTCACATTTGTTAGAGACTAGATAGGAGTCAACTTTCGGTGATTGGAGAATAGCAGTTGCAAGTATGGCTGGCCCAAAACTATTGTGTCAACTGGGAAGGGTTTAGAAATTACAAATTGCCTTGCAGGGGAAAGTATGGACTGGCCCATACTTTTGACAGAAGACGGTAAACTCACGCTGATTCTCTCGAATGGAAGGATAGATTTAAATGGAAACTTTCAGGTGTCGGTGAACCAATTCAATCCAGGTTGAAGAAAGTACGAAGCAAAGAGGCGAGATGGTTATCGTGATGGTGATTCCGTGTGGTGGGTGTCAGTTCAGCGAACAGCAGGCAACTAACTACCTCAGCTTCTAAACGTCGCCCGCAGTTGGGAGATGCTGAAGGTTGGGAGGACATATAATTGATTTTAGCGTGACGGTATCAGTATGAGCCTCTCCACCATTGTTTACCGCTAACTGGCAACTATAGCTTGGATGAAAGATTAGGGTATATGTTCTTTCTCTAAGCACACCACCATACTTCGCAAAAACGAATACAAGATGAACCGGTGGTAGCTGCGCTACTTGAGGCGGAACGAAGTCGAACCAGAAGAGAAGCCCTGGAAGGGATACAGCACCGTTCCTGCTTATACACAAGTTCTACAAATAGAATCACCTCGAATGATCTTTGCAGAGATCACCTGCGGCAGATGGGAACGGCTCGTCCCCTGGGAAGATCTCTAATAAGCAGCTTATCGGCTTCTTGGACAGAAGCTCATTCATTTGAAGGAATCACCCTGACACTATGAAGATGACCCCAGGAAGACCCTGGAAACCTTCGTTAGTTGGACTGTAAGTACAGCCAACGGCAAAAGCCGATCAAGTGCAAAAGATAAAAAGACTATCTTTACCTGATTTCTATATAATGCTATTTTAAAGAAAACCTTTTGGTTTCCTCAAGGAAAGTTATCACCAAAGCATATAACTCGGATTGCCATTTTTCAAAACTTCAAATTAATGCCCCCTTCCTTCCCATCCTCTGCATTCGATTACCAAAATGCCATATGGAGTCGAGTCGATGATAGCGTGCGAGAATGCATGGATCAACATAATGCTCATTAGTATGTAATTGGAAATTTATCAATGGGTTAATTCCCCCCCACCCTTTAAATTCAGCGTGACCCCTATCAATATCAACCCTAAATTGAGAACTATAAGATAATGACATCCAATATCATTCGCTTACTTTTTGATCGAAATATCATTCGCTTACTAAAATTATGAATTTTTATGGCTAGATCATATGTGGTGTGCCATTTCCAATTACTTCTTTGCAATTCAAAATCAAGAAATTACACTCGCCAATTTCCTAGGTGTCTCCGACCCCAAAAAAAAAATTCCTAGGAGTCCAAAGGGACACGGCTATTTTGTGTGACCATTGTTAGATAGGACACTTTGGTCAAAAGGCCATATTTGCCCTTGCACTGCTCCCCGAGTATCGTCACCTCATCTCACCGTCCGTGCCCAAGATCGGCAATTCAGTTGTGAAAATCCACGTCGGATCGACACATGTCACTTCCTCGCCCTATCCACGTGGGCATTCACCGTCATACCAACTCACGCCTTCAGAAAAAAAATATTGAGTAGGCCTGTCTTGTCACGTAAGTCGTGTATTACTCCATTCATTGATCGTGCGACGTGTCCATAATAGGTCACTTGTCAAATTTTTTCTCTTAATCTCTCTCCTCCGTTAACCCCCGTCTTTCTCTCTAAGCTCGCTCTCCGCAACAACAGTAGCCTCGCTCTCTTTCCTGCTCTTCTCATTGCTCCTCTCTCTCCTTCTCCCTTCGGCCCTCTTCCTCACCCACACGTCCCAGACGTTTACCAAAAAGTTCAATTGCCCTCTCCCTCACTTGAGCCCGACCTCTGCACCTCCCGCACCGTCACCACCGGTAGAGTCGCCAGCACTGACCAAGCCGACTAGATCTAGCCGAATGGCCCCGATGACGGGCATGGACTAGTGTCGGCCGGCATCACTCGTAAGCCGCTTGTCCGGACTTGGATCTAGAGAACTCCTGATCTTGTCTCACCCACCTTAGTCTCCAAGTGCTTAACAAATCTAGCCAAATGATGATGATGACGACGGCTTTGGACAAGTGTTGGCATCACCCACGAGCCTCTCGTCCATGACTCGTCCATGACTAGTGATCCTGTTGTCCATGGCTGGCCGGTGACGCTATTATCCACGACCACGAGCATCGTCCATGCCCTCAAAAAGACCAAAAGAAAATCGGAGAAAACAAAAAAAAAACAATGACAGAAGAGAGAGTAACGAAGGAGAGAGAAAAAAAATCCGAAAATTCGGAGTCCAGTCGGACACGTGGCGAGCAACGAGTGAAGCGACGCAAGGCAAGACAGACCTACTCAATATTTTCTCCTGTTCGGGACGGCATTGACGTGGCAGTCGGGGACTACCTAATACTTATACATACATGCACCAGCGAAACATGCAAGCCTGTCTCCCCAAGGTTATTTACGAAAACACCCCCGAGCCGTCACTATGTAAAACAACGCCACCTCTAAAACCCCAGCATCGGAGAAAATATTAGGTGACTTGAATACTTCACGTAGGCTATGCAGCGCACCATTCAGCTGCTGACACGTGGCGAATCGGGCCCACCATTCAAATTTTGCAGTCCCCCGTTACTCCACTTTGAGATCTTCTCTCCTCCGTTACTCTCTTTCTTCTTTCACCGTTTTCTTCCTTTTTCTTTTTGCCTTTCGAGACCACGGACGACGCTCGCGCCTGGATCGCAGCGTCACCAGTCAACCATTGACGACCGCTCACGAGCACGCCGACGCTCATCCATGGCCGTCGTCGGCGTCGTTGAGCATGCTGTTGATCCCTTTGGGTATCCATCTTTCCCATCCACCACGGACGCCAGCCATGGACGACGCTCGTCCATGTCCACGGTCGTCGTTGGCATCAAGCAACGCCGGAAGGGACGGCTCGATCTGGAAGTTTGGCCAGCGTCGTTCGCGGCCACAGTGCAGAGATTATGGCCCCCAAAAATAGAAGGAGAAACAAAAATTGAAGCTCTGCTTCTGCATTGTGGGTCCATAACGGCGGTGGTGTGCTTCTGGTATGTGTACCAGAAGAAGAAGATGGTGAAAAGTGGGCGAGAGGGAGAGGTTAATGGCGGGAAGATAATATTCAGGGAGAGAAGTAATGGAGGAGAGAGAGAGAGAGATGTGGGAGAGAGTAAAGGTTTATAGCGGGACCCACCTTGCCGCGTGGCATTTATTGGATGGAGCGTTATACCATCTTAGGTGGCATATTCAACTTCGCCTAATATTTTGCTCGAGGGAAAGAATAACCGCATCTTGTTGTCGCCGAATGAAGAACTGGTAAATGTTTGAGCGAGATGATCAGTTCTGATTCACGATGGTACTTTTCAAATGGGCAGATTTACGAGATAGAAAAGGGATTGGTTTGCGGTTAGATCGAAGCATTGGAGTTTCGTCGGGGGGAGAAGCTTTTTCTGCTTGAAGTGGTCGATTATAAGCTCAAGCCATGTCTTCTCTCCTGGAACTCCGAGGGAGCCCCAATGGTAATTGCAATACAGGGTAACTAGTATCGGGCGTAACCAGTTTTAGGGTCGATGCTTTTTGAATTTGAACTCGTTAGAGACTGAGATATAGCAGTTAAATTTTGGGGATTGGAGTATAGCAGCTGGGATGTTTATGACTATAGCCGACAATTATCGGGTCAACTGGGCAGGGTTTAGAAACTACAAAGTCTAGCAACATCTTTACAGCAAAATGTAACTTCTCATGTTGGTTGTTTCGAATGGAAGAGCTTATACTACATCAAGTTTTACAAATTGAACCTATAGATAGGAAAACATTTTCCGTGTTTTCCTAAAAACGATTCTTTATATCGGTGAAACTAATTAGTCAATAGGGTCAATGAAAATATTTTTTATTTATTTAGTTTTGTATGCGAAACAAACGGTCAATTTTAAGAAAATATTATCCAAATCATTCATTTCCGAGAAATAAACGGAGCTTTAAGTGATTTCTGTTGAGATCACCCTGCAGCTCGAAACCTACTCTCGTCCCCGGGAGAGATCTCTGAAAGTAGATTATTGGCTTCTCTGATAGAGTCTCATTCATTCAAAGGAATCGCCCTGCCATTGATGAAAATGAGCCCATGAAGACCCCGGAACTCTGTTAATTGACCGTGAGTATAACCGACGGCAAAAGCCAAACAGGTGATTAGATTGGCTAAATCATACAATTAGTCGATCCATTTTCGATAGAATTCCCTTAGCTGATTCATAAATACCGTCTTCCAAAGAATGTTTTGGCTTGTGTTTAGGGAAATGTCAACAGAGAAATGTGTCTCCTCTTTTGTTTGTTTTTGCTAACTGTGATGATTCTGCAGATCTTCCACTTAACTTGGATTCGAAATATTACTCCCAGATGCAGGTTGTGGAAGTATTATAAGCAGAGATCATAACGGGTTTGGCCATCCAATGGTCATAGCTGAAAAACAAGATTTGTACAGCTATACAAGTTTGTGATTGGAATTCAGTAACACAGCATAGCGCACATATAAACTCACTTTCTCCTTTGAGATAATGCCCCTGTTTTCGTTCACTCAAAACACTGCAACAGACAATTGTCTCCGCACGGATAACAGCCAGAGCAGCTCGAATGTTTATTTAGCTTC